CTAAAGTAAAGTAAAGGAGGGGTGGGGGGAGGGTAATAATAAATCATATTTCCCTAAATGTGGAAAGATATATGATACCTTTATTTCTTTTTCTCTCCTTTATATCTCAGAATTACATTGAACTAAGTGAGCAAACTTCTCAGCAAAAACTTGGAGAATTTTCTTTTAGCATTTATTCATTGGAATCAAGGGGGGGGGGGCGCTAAGCAACACGATTTTTTAGCTCTAAAATATTTAAGATTTTCAAAAGTTTTGCAATGCATATAAATCATCGCCTATAAGTTTGCATAGTAAACTGTGCAAATTTAGGTTATGCAAATTTGCGAAATCTCATCTGGTTTTAAATTTTATTAAATATTAATGATGTAAAAGAGGGAAGAGGGGAGGAAGAAAGGTTGTCGGGTGGGAGTTTGGGGGTAGATTTAAAGTCCTTGATGTGGGTTGGTAGGGTAGATTATGAATCTAAAATGATAAGGGCTCTAGCAAACATTGATATTTTAAACCATATTTAAAATCAAAATGATCCATAATTTCTTTCTTTTTCTTTTCTAAAACTTGAAATGAACAAAAAATATATCAAGTTTTAAGTTTAAGATCAATTTAAAACCTAGGAAGNAGAACCTTTATGTTGCGAATCTGAATCTTGGGGTTACGCATTGATTCCATATAGATTATTATAAAGGAACTGAGTCTTTACCACAAACTTTGATTGTCTAATCTCTATATCTTAACAACCCAATGTCGTAGACCTTATTTATGTCAAACTATGAATAAGCTGTTTGATTAAATTATCTAAGTTTGAAATATCTTAGGTTTACAACATCAGATTGCAAAGATTTAGGAATTTTATAAATTGAGTTTGTGGCAAAGACTTAACTTTTTTATAATATGTTTCTTAAAAAGTTTATTTTAACTTATGTACAGTAAACTACTATTGGATAAATGTATAAATATTTTATCAAATAAAACATCTGCTTTTCTTGAAAATTCTTGCAGAAAAGTATTATGTTACAAAAACAGAGATATAAAACTTTCTCGGCAAATAAATATTCAAATATTTTTTCTTTCTTTTTCTCTTAAACAACTTTTTATTATAAAACAACATTATTCTCCTATTTTTTCGCAGTATTTTAAAAGAGAACCGTTTTTGGGAATTTAACCATTTCTATTGTAAAATTCAAGAATAATAATAACAATAATGATAATAATGATGATGATGATGATGATGATGATGATGATGATGGAGGCCAACAAAAAAAACTTGGATTGATGATATTTTGTTGGACTCCCTTTGCGGGGAATATCCCTTGTAAAATATTTATCTATCTATCTATCTATCTATCTATCTATCTATCTATCTATCTATCTATCTATCTATTTATCTATCCTTCTCTAGAGAGTATCTGGAGTACTGATCTGGATTGGATTGTTCCAAACAATGATCGTTTGATCGTTCTTAGTTTCTTCACGGGATCGTCAACTGTCAACCATCTAGAGGTAAAGCACAGTATTTCGATAAAGGAATTGAGTCTTTGCCACACACTCATATCTTTGAATTACCATATCTTCGCAACCTGGCGATGTAAACCTTTGATAATTCAAACTTAAATTACTTGATCTTACAAAATTCATGGTTTGAAATATCAAAGATCAACGACATTAGGTTGCAAGGATATAGGGATTAGAAAATCACAGATTCTAGGAAAGACTCAATTCCTTTGTCCAATCATCATGTTTCATATATTGGCCCCTTATAGAAAAGTCTTGGAGTCTTGGAGTTAAGATAGCTTTTTTACCGATTATTATATTATTTATCCTTTTATTTTGTTTCTAATTATTTCTAAATCTGAAACAGACTTTCAGATTTTCAGTACAGTCACATTCTTTACCCTTGTACAAACATTTAGCCATCTCGAGTTCAGGGACGTAAACAGGATTTTTTGGGTGAGGAGGGGAGGAACTTCTGAGATCCTTGGTGTTCATTTATCCAGGGGGTTCAGTCCCCATAGCCCCCACCTGTTTATATCTTTCCCAAAACATCGAATATTTTTATTTTTATAATCTAGAGCACGACGATGTTGTCTCCCGTGAACCACCCTGCCGACCAGATCAGGAAGTTCCTTGAGCAGGACACCCCCTGGACACCCTTCTCCGCCGAGTTCATCAACTACGCCCTGGCCCTCCTCGTCTTTAGTATCCGCTACCCCGCTGTATTCTGGAAGACGAACAAGGCCCTGGCGTTCTTCTTCTCCCTTCAGCTGGTCGGGAACGGGATCCAGAACCTGATGGCGTTTGCGGCAATGTCGATCATGTACAAGGTAATTATCTTAAAGGGACTGCAGGTCTAAACTCAAGTTCGCGGCAATGTCGAACATGTACAAGGTAATTATCTTAAAGGGAGTGCAGGTCTAAACTCAAGTTCTCGGCAATGTCGATCATGTACAAGGTAATTATCTTAAAGGGAGTGCGCAGGTCTAAACTCAAGTTCGCGGCAATGTCGATCGTACAAGGTATTTATCTAAAAGGGAGTGCAGGGCTAAACTCAAGTTCGCGGCAATGTCGATCATGTACAAGGTAATTATCTGAAAGGGAGTGCAGGTCTAAACTCAAGTGAGTAGCGTGTTAGAGTTACAACGAAACCCTTTCAATCTTTTTTATTATAAAGAATAAGTAAAATAACCAAGTTTTCTCTTTGGAAACTGATTATTTTCAATTTTCTTTTCTCAATAAAAGGGACTTGCGTATTTATGCTTATACAGAAACAATGGAGGGATGATCTGAATTAAACACTTTTCTAATGAGAAATTCGACCATATTTTCCACAATATTTTTCAGAGAAAGGTTTAAAGGAGAACGGATCCAGAATATGCCCTCGCGGATATGTTAAAAATGGAAATAGTTTCAGGACATTTTTTGTTAATATTGAAACTGCTTCAGCAAATAGATCAATGTTCTTCGGACTATTTAAAACCCATATTTTGAGATTATGAAGAATAGAGGGAAAGTGTGAACGGAAAAGGAAGCATAGAGGGTGAGTACGAAGGTGGAAGGAAGGAAAGAGGGTGAGTACGAAGGTGGAAGGAAGGAAAGAGGTTGAGTACGAAGGTGGAAGGAAGGAAAGAGGTTGAGTACGAAGAAGGAAGGAAAGAGGGTGAGTACGAAGGTGGAAGGAAGGAAAGAGGTTGAGTACGAAGGTGGAAGGAAGCATAGAGGGTGAGTACGAGGGTGGAAGGAAGGAAAGAGGTTGAGTACGAAGGTGGAAGGAAGGAAAGAGGGTGATTACGAAGGTGGAAGGAAGGAAAGAAGTTGAGTACGAAGGTGGAAGGAAGAAAAGGAATGAAAATGGAACCGATTGAACCAAAGCTTGAAGAGAATAAGAAAGAAATCTAAGAAGTATGTCATGAATACTAAAAAGGGGGGAATCATGAATGGAGAAAGTCTACGAAAGAGCTAGAAGGGGATTTTATTATGAAAACATTTTACATTATTTTCTGACACCTTAGAGAATCATTTTCCCCGCCATTAAACTTGATTTATGTTTTGAATCACAGGAGTTAACAGCCAAACCTTATTATTTTACTTAAAGAGACTGTCAACGAGATTTCAAGTCAACTCATTCTTTTTAATCATTCGCGACAATTCTGACAATTTTCTTCATTGCCTCTATTGTTCAAATCAGAAAGTTACTGATATTAAGAAAACTCAATTCTTATGATCAGTGGCGCAACTAGGACTCTAATGAGGGGAGGGCGAAATTTGGTTTTAAGTTTTTTTTTNAAGGGGCCCTTCTTTTAATGGTTACCTTTGAAAACTTTATATGTAATCAATAATGTCTTATTCTACAGCTTGATCCGGGTGTTTAGTTCTGACAATTCCAACAATGTTTTCCTGCACTAGAAAAGCGCAAATCACGATCGGTAGATAAACCACATTGAAAATAATTAGTTTTTAGGTGTGAATCAGACACGTTGCACTCTATAATGAAGGGTCACTTTTAAGTTACTTTTTATGATAAACAATGCAGGATATCAATAAGAACTAAATTAATAATCCATAATGATTGAAGATATTATCGAGAGAATATTAATAATACTTATTAAAAAATAAGTCGACTGTGCACAATGTGTATTCGTAGAATTATATATTATTGGTTAAATCATTCGACGTAGAAAGCGTTTTTTAACAATTCTGTGTCATTGTGCTGCTAATTGATATTCGTATTATGTGCATTAAAAATCAATCTATTTTACCTTTCAATAGAAAATTATATTTTTTGTTCATAATTGTAATAATGTTTTTTCCACCACAGTTAATTTTAATGTTAATTGATTTTTTCAAATGATAAATAATTATTAAAATCTATTCACCAAGTCATGTAGGGTTGGGGATACTAATACTAGAATACGAAAAAAAAACACCAAATCGAACCTTTAAAATTTTAATCATTAAATTTTGTTCATTAAATCTCTATTTCTAAAATTATAAAACAGTAGAACCCATAAACTGTTGATTAAGATCATGTGTATTTGATGTTGTTAAAAAGGAGCAATAGTATTACCAGTATAGCTTGAAAATCAATTATTAAGTAAAACATGGATGTTATACGTTTATTAGACTATTTAAAATCTTCTTCTCTTCCCCATATTGGATCCCACGTATCGAAATCAAAATAAGAACGTTTTTGTTCTGACTCAATTTTAACTTTTAATTGTTGCTCTTTTAACGATTTTTATTTCTTGGATTTTGAAAGATCAAAATTCTTAAATTCTAACCGCCCATAAACCTTTCCTGGGTTCGTGTGAAGTTTCACAAAAAATTTGGGCCCGATCGAATCAGCCGTTTTGAAGTTTATTGATAGAAACAAACAGACAAGCGAAGTATAAAGATAGATTCCTAACATATTGATTTAGTTGAATTCATATATAATTCCAGGTTCATGTGCTGGGACCCCAGAATGTGCTGCACAAGTACGAACCGTTCCTTTTGAACACCCCGATCTCCATGCTTCTCTATCTGCTCTCCTGCATGATAGTAACGGCCTCCTCCTCCGTGATCTACATGTACGGATACCAAAAGTTTATGGCGTTCCTCCAGACCGAACGCGAGAAGAAGACAATCTTGTTGGCCGAGGGGAAGACCTCATTATGGCTCTACTTCCCCCACACTGCTGCTATGTGCACGCTGATCGCCCTGGCCGTGTGTAACGGCCCGCTTCTCTATGACTTTACGATCATCTACAAGGGATCGCTGGACGGAACAGTTTTAGTATTTGTGATCGCCACGGTGCTGCACTTGTTCCTGTGGATCGTAACCTGGCTGTTCTTGACTGTAAAAATGACCTGGAAGTTTAAACTTCGCGTCACTGTCGGCCGTGCAGCTGTTCACAACGCAAAGTCGATCAAACTAGTCAACGACATTGACCTTCACCATCAACCAGTGGACAAGGAAAATGCGCCAATGCTAATTGTTGGATTTGGGAAAACGTTTACTGTACATGACCAGGCTCCCAAGAAGTTGATAATGCGAACTCTTGCTAAGGCTGCTATGGAAACGGACCGTGCTCTCGAAGAGGAAGAAACCTACTGGTTAAAGGGCGATACTCCATCCAAAGCTACGGCTCCGACTTCAAACACGATATTAAGGTATTTTAATCGTTAATTGCATTCTTCGTAAATTTGGATGAACATTTTTAAAGGAGAGAGAGAAGTAGTTTAAATAGATCAACTGAAATCAAAAATGAAATGTTCAATGTCCCATAAATTTTTTTCATGATTTTAAATTTAGCTCTGTGTAGCATCTAGGACTAGGAGGCAAATTTATTCCTAATTTCCAAAAGTTTGTAAAGGTTTATCCTTCATACAGCGTCTGAAAAGGTTCCGTCAAATTTACCCGGTAAAAAATGGAAAACTAAGTCTTGTCAATTTAATATTTTTCATTCCAATTTTTAGAGTGCACGCGTCACCGAGCTTAAACAAGAGAAATGATGGAAACGACAGTGTGACCAGCCAAAGTCCAAGGCGGATCAACCCAGGCCACACCTCCCCCCAGACCAGTACGGTACAGGATACAGACGACAGGATACCTAAAGACAGTATCTACGGGACGATTAGAACAAAAGGAAAAACTCGTCCCATTACTGAAGGGGAAAGCTTACAAGCTCTGAATACTGTTCATCAACATATAATTTCAGGAAAACCAGTTTAAAAAAAAAATATTAATTTTTTATAAATAAAGAATTTTTTTCTTTGGAACAGTTTATTATCAAAAAGATTTTTAGTCCCAGAATTATTTTTTTACTCGCTTTTTTTGCTTAAAAAATATCCCCCATTATGCGAGAAAAAACATTTGAAAACATACAATATAAATCATTGCTATGCAGACGCATTTAGAAAAAAAAATCTTTATGAAAGGGAATGTTCAGATATGTGGGTAATGTGCAGATGTACAAAAATATTGATCACATATCATAGTAGTACTACTATCTTTTTAACCTAAAATAAGTAGATTATGTTTTAATAAATGTTTCCAAAAATATTTTCTGAATTTACGTCGTTTTCATATTTGTTATAGTTTTAGCTTATAAAACTGCAAAGAAAAAAAAGAAATATTGAATATATCACTAAAGATTGTATTTTCAAAGTCTCAATTATTTCAATTCAATATATAAAGACGACATAATTCAAAAGTAACAAGAAAAATTGAAAACATTCAAATAAATATTGTTTCGTCATTGTTAGCTTTTTTTAGAAACAGTTATCAAACAACTATCAAACAACTATCAAACAACTATCAAACAACTATCAAACAACTATCAAACAACTATCAAACAACTATCAAACAACTATCAAACAACTTCTATATTAACCCGAAGGAATCGAGTTCTTATCGCAAACTCTGATTTTCCAATCCCTATATCTATGCAACTAAATGGCATAGACCTTTGATATTTTAAACTAAGAATTTTGTTAAATTAAGCAGTTTACGTTTACACAATTAGAATGCAAAGATATAGGGAGTAGAACATTTAAATTTGTGGCAAAAGCTCTGTTCCTTTGTGAATAATTCCTTAAACGTTTTATTGGAAAAGATTTCCATAATTTTGATATTTCAAACTAAGAATTTTGTTAGATTAAATATAGTATATGTTTGGAATATCAAAAGTTTACTCAATCGGCATGCAAAAATATAGGGAGTAGAAATTTCAAGTTTGTGGCAAAAACTCTGTTCCTTTGTGAATAGTCCCTGCAATGTTTTAATGGAATAAAGATTTACATAAACTGAGATGAGGTTGCCTTGTAACGATTAATTACTGAACATGAACTAATTAGACACTAATTAGGGACTAATCGAGCGTGATAATTAGATAATAGTTTAGATTAAAACAAAACAAAAGAGAAAAAATGTCTTTCATAACATTTTTTTAGTGCACTAACCATTCCTCCTCTCTATAAATTGTGTCCAAAATTTAGACAGTTCTAAAAATTAAGTTATTCGGATGCCATGTAAGAAATGGCCAAAATCAAGAATTCAAGGTTTTTTTCATAACTTTTTTTGAGAGTTAAAAAAAAAATTTGAAACTGGATTTTATAGAAGAGGATGTAGACAGCCTACCCCCTCCTCCTCTAGATGAGGGCGGGGACCGACAGCCACACCTCCTCCCCCCTAGACCAGCGCCTAGGAAAGGGGGACACCCTCAAGATGTTATGGTAAGTAGAAGTAGAATAGTTGTTGGATATTTTCGGCCATTTTGTAAAATAAAAAATAAAAAAAAAATTAAAAATTAGGGTTTTGGTCCTTTAGAGGGCATCACACGAAATACTCTCAACTTCTAACATTTTAAACTATATAAGTTTGTTTTTATTAAACTTTGCACTATGTTATCCTAAGAGAAAATATAAGGAAAAACCGAATAAAAAAAAACAATAGTTTCTAGACAATCGTTTTTGAATATATTTTTTTTTCAGGGTCAAACTTTGGCATTGTGTAACTTTGGTATTAGAACAAACAATTTTAAATTTGTAAAACTTCTAAGATATTTTTGGAACCTTTTAGAAGTCCAATCCCCTTACAGAGTTTTTAAAAACTAACCATTTCATGTCCCATGCACTAAAAAAAGGAGGCTAGTGTATCATATGATTAAAGATTATAATTATTCAGAATAATTACTTATGATTATTCAAAATAATCATTAATGATTAACGTTGCACAGAATGTACAAAACATATTTTTAAGGAGTTAAGAGTATTAAAAACATTAATTTGCTATTTTTTCCGCTAGTTTTGTTTGATGGAGAGATAAAGTAGTCCTTGTATGGTAATTGGACTGTTTTGTGTATGTGTACCTTTAAAGTATCCAAGAAGCCAAATGTTTTGAATTAACGGTTCAAATTTTGCCCCCCTAGATTTAGTTCCGTTTACGCCCTTGGTAAAGACTTTTTTTTTTTAAACATTTATCATTTTTTGTAAACACTCTCTTTCCAGAAAGACGTATTGTTGAATGTATTAGTATATACTTCTTTAACATTTTTGAGAAAATGTTAGAAAATACTTTTTGTATCTCTGTTGAGTAGTTGAAGGAAAACTTAAACAATAATAAATAAAACATCTATAAACATTTTCTACTCTAACGAGACAGGACACGTCTGGATAGGGTAACATAATATGGAAGATTTTTTTTTTTTTCCTTATCTTGTATCTTTTTATTATATCTTTATAATGCTGAAAGCCTTTGATATTTCAAACCATTAAATAAGCAAAGTTTACATATAAAAGGTTTACCACATCGGATTGCAAAGATTTAGGGACACCAAATTACAGCTGGTGACGAGTTCTGTTTCAAAATTCTGTTAGATCTTTGAATTCTGTTAGATCTATGAATTCTGTTAGATCTATGAATTCGGTTAGATCTTTGAATTCTGTTAGATCTTTGAATTCTGTTAGATCTATGAATTCTGTTAGATCTTTGAATTCTGTTAGATCTTTGGATTCTGTTAGATCTTTGAATTCTGTTAGATCTTTGGATTCTGTTAGATCTTTGAATTCTGTTAGATCTTTGAATTCTGTTAGATCTTTGAATTATGTTAGATCTTTGAATTCTGTTAGATCTTTGAATTCTGTTAGATATATGAATTCTGTTAGATCTTTGATGGTTAACACCATCAGGTTGCAAATATTTAGGGATTAGAAAATTTGAGTTAAAGATATTGTAACATTTAATACTCAAATCTTTGTAATTTGAAGGATTAGAAAATCAGAGTTTGTCGCTAGGACTCAATTCCTTTAAAGATTAATAAAATGTTGAGACACTCTGCTAAAAAACATGTTTTCTACTTTTCATCGTTATGAGATTAAATCTGTAAGTGAACAAATATTTGATACTCCTGGAAAATGGAGGAAAGTTAAAATATTATTGATTTTATATTCTCTAGGCTCCTATTTCAACTTTTAATTGATGCTTAATTGAGTTTTTGCCACAAACTCAAAATTGTAATCCCTACATATGTGCAACCCGATGTCGTAGATCTTAGATATTTTAAACTATGAATTCTAATAGACCAAAAAGCATTGAAAGTTTAAAAAAAGGTTTACAGAATCAGGTTTCAAAGAAATGGAGATTATAAAATTTGAGTTTGTGAGTTTTTGGTTTACAATTTGCCGGTTTTTCTTCGTTTTAAACGTTTTCAAAATATGTCTAATTTGGACAAATAATATATATGAAATGTTATCATCATCTATGTATATGTATAAAGTAGCTATCTTTATCTGTTAGTCTATCTGTTTGTCTGTGTGTATATTCGATCAAAAATTATGACCTGGTCTTGACCGATTTGCTCCAAATTTTGATTTGGCAACTCGGTCAACGAACCACGGGAATGTTCAAATTGGGTATGTTGACATTTACAAGGAAAATTTTTTTCCAGGCAAAGCCGGGTTTTCATGCTTATCATTTAAGACATTTGATTACAGATTAAATTATTGCAGATTTATTAAATAATTCATTTTGTTAATTAACTAATTTATTTTAGGATGTTCACACCCCTCGTAGCAATCGCAGTATAGACTCTGGACTTCCAGATTCCAGCAGTACCACCTCTAGCAGCAGTCCCCCGGGCCAGCAGCAGCAGCAGCAGTTCACAGAGTCAGAGCAGCTGCAGCATAGAAAGTCGAGCAGTTTAGACAACATTCCGGTGCCAGCTGCTCTCCCGCCCGGTGCTGCGCACTGGAAGAGTTTCAGTCTGCAACGCGGCATAGTTCCGCCAGGGGAGGACGAAGTGGGAACCGCGGTGGATGGTCGTGGCGGTGGATACGAGGAGAGGACAACCGCGGTCTTTGAAACAGAGGAAGATGTTTACGGACGGTGTACAAACATGAAGCTCACTTCTTTTACAGAAATGTCACAGGTAATAAATAAAACAATATTTTTGTTTAAATTATTAACCCCACAACACCCTACCCGCTAGAGTTGGGGAGTCACCTCCGAGAAGTCTTCAAAAACCAGGTAAAAATAAATTTTACAGAATATAGGTAAAAGATCTTATTCGATCAATAAATAATTTTGTGAAAATTAGAAAACTATGGAATGGTTTTGGTCTTTATCATTTGTTTGTAATTTTTAATGTTCAGGGTATGTTTTAAAATTACTAAACAATTGGCATTATTTTACCACTGTAAATATTCCTTTGTGGTAGAGAGTTGTTCAACTGCTTCAAAAAAAAATTGATGGTTTTGAGAGAAAAAATATTTCGATATTTTAAATATCCTTCTCAATTCTATACAAAAACAACCATATTGTTTTATAACAAAAAAATAAGGAAAAAATACATTTAGTAACAACTGTTTTAAATTATTTTACCATTGTAAAAACGTGGAATTTTATATTTCAAAAAAGACACATTCCAACTTTTCAGGATTATATTCTATATTAATAATAATGCTAAAAGTTTTAAAGGGGTAAGGAATGTTGAAAAGTATGACAAATTTGCTGAGATAATCTCACCGGGTTCCGCGAATCTAATTTTCTGAATCCTTTGAACTAAAATCTGTAAAGAAAATATAATCTTTTTCCGCACTTTTTGCAACAGCTTCCAAATTCTGAAGCAAAAAGATTTGAATAAACATTTTGAAAACATAAACATTTATAGATATTCTAGATTTTAACTGACGGAGGGTTTAATATACATACTATTATTATACAGTAAACCCCATTTTAAAGAAGACAGAAGAACTTGTACAATGTCGCTATTTAGTGATTAATACCGCTGATAAACCAACGGATTACAGAAACTGTCTTGTAATTTACCAATCGCATATTCACAGAGATATGTGTAATATACTGAAACATAATCTAAATAAATATAGATTGAAAGTTAGAAGTTTTTTTCGAATTTAATATTATCTAAAACTTTATCTTAAACAGATAAATTAGCTCTTAACTACACTGCAAACTAACCAGGAGGAGAAGGTCAAGTTCAATTGACATTACAATTGACATATCTGTTACGACTTTGTAACTCCATTACGCCTCTTGCAAAAAAATCAAATTTATCTGTTACATATTATCAGTTTAAAATATTTTTGTTCTTCTCAATAGCTCTTCAACAAAATGAAAAATATTGCATTTTTCTTTAATTTGACGAGATTTTGCAGCATTTTTCAAACATCTTCTCAAAAATATGGCCGCTGTCTCGATTCATTAAAACACATAATATCAGAAAAAATAATAAAACATTTTTGTGTTCTAGGAGTTCAACCTGTTGGCCGGCATTTTAAACCATTTGATCACAGAAAAATGAATCCAATGGCTGATATTCAGGTATATTAAATATTCAAAATTCACGACCCTTTACACCTTGTCCAAGCCACTCCTGTATGCCGAGTGCATTGTTAGCGCCTGATCCAATCAGGGTTCAGTCATGTGTTTGGTGTCTATTCTGAACCAATAGAAATATTATGGCGATAACATCTATCTTTCTATCTATCTCATTATCCAATAGGAGATATGAATCCTTCAATCGGCGCTATCAGTAAATGGAAATATGGAGAAAAAAATTAAAATACATAAAATTAAATTAAGCATTACATGAAACAATACATCAATTAAATATTGAGATGAAAAATTAAATTTAAAAAATGATCAAATAAATTAATCAATAGGATTAAAAAGTCAATTAATAAAATAATGGAGGAATGAAGGAATCATAAATAAAACAGTTAATTCTCGATAAATAATAAACAAAAATTAAAATATTAATGAATTAATAAACAAAGTAAAAAATCAATCAATAAATAAAAGGACGAAAATGATTAAAATTTATGTAGAAAGCAACAAACCTATAAATCATTATTAAAAATATTTATGAATCAATTAATATTAAATGCTGGAAAAAATCAACGTTTATATAAATAAAATGATTACAGGAAAACCCTTATGAAGTACAAGCCGAGAATCCTTATGGCACTTTTAGACAGGTGATTAAATATAGTTTTAAAAAAATATTTTCTATTTGTAAAATTTTTTTTTTCTAATTTAAAAAAATTATAATTTTCTCTGAAATTGAACAAATCTAAGAGCTCTTAAGGATTTTATTAAAAACTATAAAATAAGTTTTTTTCATTTTTCGAACTGACTCTTAAAACTCTTTTCCCTGAACAGAGTAAATGTAATTTAAAAACTTGATTTAATTCTTACAAAAAACTATAAATTTAGCATTTTCCATTTCTGGAATTTATTATTTTGTAAATTACCCCCTAGAAAAAATTTAATTATTTAAATATACCATAAATTAAACATTTAAATTTTTTGAAGATTAAATTAATCATTTAAAAACTAATTTAGTCATTAAAAAACTTTAAATTAAACATTTTAATTTTTTGAAAAATTACCCTCTGAAGATTAAATTAATCATTTAAAAACTAATTTAGTCATTAAAAAACTTTAAATTAAACATTTTTCTCTTTTTTAACTAACCTCCCCTGAATTAAAACTGCCCCCCTGGAAATAAAACGAATTATTTTATTGTTGATTTAATTATAAAAAGCGATAAATTGAAAAAGTTCAAAAATTTTCAACCAACTTCTCCAGAATTGAAACTTTTACCCCTAAAAAGTAAATTAATTATTGAAAAAAACTAATTTAGTTATAAAAGAAACTTTAAATTGAACAATTGAATTTTTTTAATCTAATCTCCCCTGAATTGAAACGTTCCCCACTGGAAAAAAATAATTATTTAAATGTGAATTAAGAAGCCATAAATTAAACATTTTTTATCTTTCTAAACAACCACTCCTGAGTTGAATAAAAAATTGAATTATTCAATGTTAAGTTGATAAAGCTATAAATTAAAGATTTGTCAAGTTTTGAACCAACTTCTCCTGAATTGAAACTTTTCCCCCTGAAGAAAGTAAATTAATTGTTTCTAAAGTTTACTCCAAAGAAATCTGTTGAAGTGTTTCTTCTAAATGAAAACATTTGGTAAAACATTGTTTACATTCAGCTAGACAGAATCTCTAATAACGTGCTTTTAAAAACAAGGAATCAAATTTTATGAATTGGCGGGGTATTTGAGCTGCCTATTCAAATTTGAATCACCGGTTATAATCTTTACTGAGTTTTTGTCTTTGAGTCGATGGTTCAAATTTTAATTGTGTACAGGGTGAGTAAAAAAAGCAATTTTCAATGTTTTGGACAAAATTTTCAAAACTAATTTTTCGTTCGGACTAAAGGCATTATTTCGAATAAAATGTGATAAAAATTCAAAAATATTTTTGGAACATTGAAAAAAAAATCCGCGAACCCAATTTTTATTTTTAAATTAAAATTTTTTGAAAATAGTTGAGAATATGTTTATTTTATTGATTTCCAAAATTTCACGAAAATTCATCAAAATTTAGATATAACAAAAACTCCGCAAAAAAATTTGAGTGGAAATCTGAAGTAAATGTTATCAAATTAAAACCCTAGAACTATCATGACTTCTGAAAAGGCAAATCAAATTTTTTGTTATATCTCAATCAATTTTTGATAAATTTTTATAAAATTCTGGAAAACAACAGAATGAATGTTTCCCAACAATTTTCAAAAAATTCAATTTTTTCCGAAAATTGGTATTGTGGTTTTTTTTCTATGTTCCAAAAATATTTTTGATTTTTTTTCATTTTATTATATTTATGCCTAAAATCCTAACAAAATAAAATTTTTGAAAACTTGTCCAAAACATCGATAATCCCAGTTTTCTTTTGACTCACCCTGTATAGTTTTACGATATTTATTGTTTTCGAGAATTCGAAACCAAGTTTAAAGTACAAGTACAATTATATTTTCATTTAGAAATATGTGCGTAAACTTATTTAAATTACGGGTTTTTATTTTATTTGCTTTTTGTACAATCAAGACATAATGCATATCTTTGCAACCTGATGGTGTAAACCTTTCATATTTCAGAATTTTTAGTTTGAAATATCAAAGGTCTACGATATATGGTTTGTATTTTGGACCTCGAAGCTCCTTTTAGTTTTGATTCAATAACCAAGTTTAAAAAAGACAATTATTGATTCAAGTGTGGTTCTGAAAACCAGGCAGTCGAGGTCGGGCCGCGTCAAAATATATATTATGAAAGACTAATTTTATGTGCAGGAGCCGGTGCAGTACAGTGCAGAGAATACCTATGTTGTACACCACAACACAAACATACCGTACATGCCTAGTGAGTTGCGGCACACAAACTACGGTACAAAACCACAGTTTGTTCACCCACAGGTATAGAACCAGGTACATACATTTATGTACCTATACTAATTATAATAATAATAATAATAATAAAAGTATATTCCCGGGGGGGATCTAATGTCTCTTCTAATTATTCCATGGGGTCCAGCGATTCTGGTCACTCTGGATAGATAGATAGATATGCGCAGGAAAATGTGCGTTTATCAGTTTATCAAAGTGATCATGTGTTCGAAAATCGTGCTCTATGAACCCGAACAGAAGGAAAGTGAAAATAAAGAACAATGTTCAAGTGTTACATATACAAAGACGAAAATCTTGAACGAAGACGACAGAACGGAAAAATCTGCGAATAATTGTTGTAAAATCAACTAAAAAATTGTTGCGATATATCATGATCTAACGGATAACTCATCAGCAGCGAATGTTTCATTTTCGATAATTAATTTTATTATCAAATCTGTTTATCACCTAGTACAATTATTTAATGATTAAACTTAAAGGGACTGTAGGCGTAATTTCAAGTAACCCACCATTTTACGATGGCATGTAAAATTTATGAAGATATACTCTTTGAACCTTTATTTGAATAACAATGAGAGAGACATCGTCATTTTTCCATCTAAAAAGTGTTGCATTTTCTTCATGGTTTCTGCTGCGTAAATCCGAACGTCACTTGTTTAGATAAACCACAATTGAAATCAACAATTTTCATAAGGAAAACTCAGGATATCTCATTCAATCCTTGATAAGAGAAAGGTTAAAAGGGTATCGTTGTGACTGAGACCTGTCACAACATCAATAAAGAGTCACTTGAAACTACACCTACAGTCATGAAAGTTATTATTTTTAATTACCAGGGTTACTTTTTCATTGTCAGCAATTTATAGGAAATAATAGACTGATAAAAATATTTTTTTTTTAAACCACGGGTTTTTCTTATTTTGTCATCAAAATTGTGATGGACGGGGCTTTTGTTTTTTTGAAACAGAAGGCACTCAAATTCTTTTTAAACATTCAGTCAACTTGGGATATTTCAAAAAGAAGATTTTTCTGAAAAAATCCTGTGATACTAATGGCCTTAACGGCCTTTTCAAACATATTTCGACTTTAACATCTCAAATAAATTATTGAATCTCATTTCTTAACTCAGTAACTAAATAACGTAACATTGAATGTAATATCTTTTTAATACTTTTTTCAAAGGTTTACAATTTTCTAAGTTTCATAAAACTTTGACGTGACTGAATATTAAAACGTTATTATAGGTGATGTTAATGGCCTTTTAAAGTGCCAAAAAGTTTGAACATCATGGTTTCTGTAAAGCCCCATGCTTCAACAAAACAAATATCATTTTAAAACTACATTTTAAAAATGTTCAATAATCCCTGAAACATTGTATCTTTTTTTTAATATGTATAGTAGACAAACGTAAATTTTTAATAAATAAATTTTCTCTTTCTTGTTATTATTTTATTTTATTTTTTTATAGTTTAACTTTTATTATTAGAGCATTGTCGATTGAAGAATAACACACATTGTTATGAACTTATGAGCTTATATATAAATATGTATTTATAATCCAAATCCAAATCTTGATTCCCAACCTAAAACATTCCATTCTTATCAGAAAAATAAAAGCGCATTAAGAAACTTTTTATCACTGTGCCCTCTCCAAGAATCTCTATGTGTACCCAGGCTTGCCCTCCCCCCCCAGCTCCTGGCCCCAGAATCTCTATGTCTACCCAGGCTTGTCCTCTATTTCTACACTGGCTGAATTTAAATTGGTTTTATGATCCATATAGTTAAATAGTGCCCTACACTGGATACAGGGTGTATAGAAAAGTTTATACCTCAAACCACAAAAGAACGCTGTTAGAAAGAAAAAAAACGAAATTTGCTTAAATTTTCACAAAGGCGTACCAGTAATGTTGGTTAAATTTGACCTTCTCTTTTTGCAAAAGTGCAGTATAAGCGTCATATGAAATGATTGTTGCTTCAATATGTTTTTATTTCTGGACACCCTGTATCTGTTATGTATTCCACAAACCATAACCCGACAATAACCATTAGATAACATTAGAAAACATTGTATAATTGGATAAAACAAGAATTTTGGGATTGTAAAATCTTTATTAACAATTTGTTGAAGCAATTACACTTCCCTCTTTTCACTATATTTATATATATATACTTTGCTTGTCTGTCTGTCTGTTAGTATCCGATAAAGATCAAAACGGCTGAACAAATCGGGCCCAAATTTTGTGTGGGACCTCACATGACCCTAGGGAAGGTTTATGGATGATCAAAATTTCAAAAATTTGCCCGTAACAAAATTCGTTTTTACTAAATTTTGAAATCCACGAATTTTTATGATATAGTTTTACACTGTATACTAAGAGAAAATATTAACAAAAATCTAACATGATTTTGCCAATTCCTATTTCTAAATTGAAGATAGAAACATGCAAATTGCAATTTTAAAATGTACATGTCCAAGGCTACAAAAAAGTATAAGCGAGTTGAAGAGGCAAACAAATATTTTTATCTTTTTGCGTGTCTGTTTGTTTGTGTCCAATAAACGTCAAAACGGCTGAAACGATCGGGCTCAAATGTTTTGTGTGACCTCACAGGAAAGTTTTATTTATGATAGAATTTTCAAAAATTTGCCTCCAACAAAATTCTATTTCAATTAAATTTTGAAAACCCACGAATTTTTTTAATCAAATCCGCAAAAAAATTTTATTTTTGTTTTACAATGTATACAAAGAGAACATGTTTACAATTGAAACAGAAGATGGGCGCGTAAATCTAAATTTATCTTTTTTTAACAAAATAAATATGGAGAAAATTAATTTAAATATATCTTTTTAAAAAATAACTGAAAGAAAGTAAATATCAATAACCATCCTTTTAAAAATAATTAACAGAAAAAAATAAATATTATCTCTTTCAAATTTCGATTGGTTTTGCTTAGTTTGGTTCTGTGAGAGTCAACATTTTACATAATAATAAAAGAAATTTCGTGGAGAATAAAATTCAACCCTAGCTGTAATCAGGAGCGTATTGAATATTAATCCTAGGGGGTGGGGGGTTGAACTTTTGACGAAAGAGTTTTTTTCAGTTGACCCCCCCCCCCTAGCGGTCGTTTCACCTAAAAAACCGATTTTAAGAAAAAAAATTAGAGCTTCTGTAAATAAGACTAAGGTCTAACTAAAAGAAGTTGATAAAAAATTTTAAAAAATGGACAAATTGCCAATTGTTCAGAAACTTTTTTTAAAAGAGATTTTTTTGTCCCCAGGACATGATCGGGTTGTTACGATCAAATCTCGGAATTTTTTTTCTATTGCGAAAGTTTGGTGTTGTCTGGGTTTTTATATTGATCTACCAGGGGTTGTAATCTGGCAGCACATTCATCCATCCACGCTTTATTCATTCTGAGAAGAGGGTTGACAAGATTCCAGCTGCCTAAGATTCTTCTTAGGCCTGAGAATATAGAGTGCAGGAATCCTTCTGATATACTGGAATGAGGCCCGGGTGCCGTACTGATAGGAAACATCACACTCATTGCTCCCTAACATCTGTAAGCCCGGATTGGATACCCCCAGGTACCTATAGCTGGCAACCATAGACTCTCCCTGCTTGTCCACCATTCCTCTCTTCATCGTCATTCACTTGGATCAATCCCACTTGAAGCTTCTTTCTTGTTGAGTAGAAAGCACGCACCCTTTCGCTGCGAGAGTTGTTGACAGCCGCCCCTCTGTCCTCCTACATCCGTCAGGTGGTCATAACTGCTAAACCAGATGTCGGCTTCAGATGTTTTTGAAACCACAGGTTTGTGTGGAGTACGGGAATCGAACCCGTAAACACCAGTCTGGACACCAATCCAGTTACTGGCTGTGGACAAGTGTGCTTAACTTAAGTGATCTAACGAGAACTGGTGTCACACACTCTCCACGCCACCCCACAAATCTCCACGCCACCCCAGAAACTAATATATAGTGAAGTTTAATATGTTAGGTTTGGAAAAAAGGGGGGTTCTCGCCCCCCCCCCCATACGCCCCTGGCTGTAATAGAGGTCACTTCACAGATTTAGCTAAAAGCCAGAGTTCCTATAGAAGGTTTAAAAACTGTTCAAATATTAAGTTCAATTTGTGTTTCAGTGTACAGGGTTACCCACAAAGGATGAGACTGCAAAGACGACAGGAAACTCTTAAAATGTGACGATTTCAAGGTTAAATTATGTATTCTGCCTGAGATATAGTTATATAACGGTTAATTTAATGATTTGGCAAAGAAAGAAACAAGTTTATGGTTACAGGGAATCGTAAATATAAGGAAACAGCCATGAATGATAAATTCATACAATCGTCTCTGAAGTCTCATGTTTTGTGGGTAACCCTGTACATAGGGATATAGGGATAATGCTTGAGAACGTTTTTATAAGAAAAGTGAACTTCAAAATAAAAAGTGATTGTAAGTGTAATTTCAAGCTATACCCTTCATTGAAACATGTCCATGACCGATTCATAACAGCACTTTCAATAGCTGAAAAGTATGATTTATATATATCAATATTTAAAATTTTGAAAAAATGATTATTTCGATTGTGACAATCGCATTTCTATATGCAGGAAAACTTAAGTTACTATAGAATTAAGCACTTTCAAACCTCGGAAAACGTCAATATCTGCCACATTATTGATAAGATAAAGGGCCCATGGGTACCGTTGTCAATCAGAAATTGGCATCTTTGCATGGTCACCAAGTTCAAGTGACCCACCATTGGTGTAAAGTAAAATCGAAAATAAAACGAGAAAAAGCATCGAAATATCTGATAAAGGTTTAATCGTTATCAATAGTTAAAGGAAGGTGACTCATTAACGAAGAATTAATTAAATCAAATTAATTAAATTAAATAAAATTAATTAAATTAAAATCTGTCGATTTTCCGCTTTTCTCTCCCAACTAAATCCCCATGGAAAGAAAATGAATTTTTTGACACAAACTCAAATTTTCGAATCTCTTTATCTTTGAACCATAG